AGGATTCCTGAACTGCTGGAGCCTCGCTGGTCCGTTCCTCCTGTCCCACCTTGGCCTTCCGCCAGGGTTCCTGTTTGGCTGAAGCCTCGCTGGTTCATCCCTCCGGCTCTGGAGAACGTTGTTGTCCATCCAACAGACAACAGCGAGCGACGTCAAAGGTGCAGAACAATCAGACACGCACCTGCCACTCATGGTCAGGAGACAGTGGTGGCTCTCGGGCTGCTGGTTGCCTCCAGGAGAGGTTGTGGTTCCATGGTGGATGTTGTCAGGTAATGTGCTGTGGTGATGTAAGCTGTAGCAAGGTGTGGGTGCTCAAGCTTGTGCAGCAGGTGCCAAGGCAGTATCACCAGTCATCCTGAAGTGAGTTGGTCTGAGTCAGATGGTTGTTTGTAGGTGTTGTTAGCCAGTAGGCTATCCATGGTACCTGTGGTTTGGAACAGCTGGGTTGGACTCTCACTGGTGAGAGTGCAGGTGGTTCTGGGGGTCGCAGGAAATTATGGAGATTTTGTAGTGTGAAGAGATTTTTAGACTGACCTAGTGATGGTGACAGGAGGGCAGCAGGTGGTTGTTAGCCCTCTGTGGAGCTCAAACGACACTAGAAATCTGATGTTTGCGGCATCGCTTTTCTCTTGTGGTGCCACTGACTTGAGCTTGCCTGAGTTGTGTTGGTAGAGGTTTCGCTGTGGGGCATGTGGGCCCATTGCTCCATCCATCATTGTCTGGCTGCTTCTGGGCTGTCGACTGGTTTTAAGGGATGCTTCTCCCTTGGAGTGGTCTGATGCTGTGTTGCATCAGGCAAGGAGTCAGAAGTTTGTCCTTCCCAGTACCCCTCAGTTGAGTTTTGTTCAAGGAGCTCTTTTGCTAGTGTCAGCAGCTCCTGTAACTCAGAAGAGGGTGTGTCCAGCTGTCCTTGTGCAGCATCCGTTTGGCACCTGTGTGGAGGAGGATGTTGTGGTGGACTGCTGTTGGACATACCGTGGTGTTCGCAGGATGAGGATGCCCTTTTCCATCGTTTCTGCCAGTGGTTGGTCTGAGACTTGGGTCTGTTGCCATGGTGACGACTCTGTACCCCGCTGGCTAGTGGCTTTCTGTAGCAGGGCCTTGAATTGTGGCAATGCTGGGTTCCTGCTTTGGATTCTGGGTTGTGCAGTTCAGAATCAGTGGGGTCTTACAAACACCTTTGGTGGAGGCCTTGTGCTTGTTATAGGCCTTTTGTGTCAGGTCACGCAGTTGTTACAATAGGGTGGAGGTTTCAGAGGAAAAGGCTCTTGAAGCTGGTGTCGTCCTCCATCCCAGGTTCATTGCGAGCTCCGAAGTAAGCTCATCGAAGTCTGTGGTAGTAAGCATGGGGAGTTTCATGACGGCACTGTTTGGTGTCTAGGGCAGTGATCAGTCCGTGTTCAGAGTCTGGGTCTGAGAAATCCTTTATGATGGCTTGTTTAAGCCGCTGGTAGTCTCATTGGATGTGTCCTGGCTGTCGAGCCATGAAGCGTCGTACCTCTGGGCTAGAGGTGATCCAGAACAGATAGAGTCTATCGTGGTGGTTCACACTGGTCCAAGACTGCAGGTAAAAGTCAATGTCTCGCAGGTAAGCGTGGACATCGTGGTCTCCTGAAAGTTCTGGTGTGAATGCAGGGATGTTTCTGGCCATTCGGTTGAGGTCTTTGAGTGTTACTCCATGTGTCATTTCAGAGTTTGTCTGAATTGATCCTTTTCCTGCTGCGGCTGCAGAGGTTTCCAGGAAACTGACTTGTGAAGTGTCAAGCAGAAGGCTTTGGACACTGAGTGCAGCTGGAAAAAGCCATCAGACAGGACGTAGAAAGAGAACCGTTTCACACAAAGTCACTGTTAAAAACAGCGAATGTGGAACTTAATGAGAGAGACACTAGAGATAAGGCCTTAGAAGGCCATCTGCATGCAGCCAGAGCTGAAGTCCAAACCCTGACTCAGCAATTCTGCAACATTAAAGAGGTGCTTGACATGGTTCAGAAAGAACTGAAACAGTCCTACAGACTGTGCATGGACTCAAGTAAAAGTCACCCTGATGCATGTCACACAGCCAGCAGTGTAAACCCTCTCACCCCTGTACACAGATACAAAGGGGGGACTGTTTCAGTTCTTTCTGAACCATGTCAAGCTCCTCTTTAATGTTGCATAATTGCTGAGTCAGGGTTTGGACTTCAGCTCTGGCTGCATGCAGATGGCCTTCCTACAAAAAAATTAACAAGTGTCCATGGCCACTGTAAGGAATTTTAACTCAGTTGTAAGGGAATTAATTATTATTATTGATTCAGGTTTTGATAGGACTCGGATTTGAAGAGCCTAATTCAACCTGATTCGAATTGATTCTAAATTTGATAGTTTACACTCTATCAGCTACTCAGCCAGCGAGAAGTTGATGTCAGTGTATATTACCAATTGAATATGTAATTTTTGTATTCTCCCTGGCCACGGGTGAAATACAATTATGATACTTTGTCAGCTCTTAAGAGAGGTAAATATTATGAGTAAGCTACGAGCTAGGCAGCAAGCAAGGGATCTTTTTAGCAATAGATTTAACCTTGAAATTATATGACACCAGACAATCGATTATTTATAAATGAAACATGAAATTTATTGGCTATTCTAGATTACATAAACTTAAGCTAAACACACATACAGTTTCAGAGGAAGGAAATTCTGTTAACGGAGTTCTGAGTTTCATAGTTCTACCTCGTTTTCACGAGTGATGTAAATTCACCTTAAGAATTCCCAAAGCAGAGAATCTAAATTCACCAGTTCAACAGATCGAAGATCTTGTTTGTACTTGCGTTTTGCTGGTTGACAGCTGGAAAGCTGAGGTGATTCCGTTGCTGACGTGGGCTTCCTGGATGTTTTGAGGGAACCCCGTTACTGATTGGTCGGTGACGTCTGAATGACGTCCTTTGGAAAACCCCTCATTGGTCTGTGATGAAGCAGAGGTGTGAGCAGTTCTGCTGAAAGTCTTAGTTTGCACGACTTTCAGTTCTTTGAAGATTTCAACGAAGTATCACTGAAGTGTTGAGTTTTAGATGGCTGGTCGCTTTTGATGGTAAGCGCGTGAGCACACGTGGGGTGCTCTAACACAGCGACAGGCGAGAGCAGGAGAAGCAGCAAGCAAGC